TGAAAGGTCATGAGTACTATGGGTAACAGAGCATCCTTAGAGGTGTTGTCATTTATTCGGTATATAGTTCCGACAATATTTGCAACTTTTTGTTCCATGGCCCCGAAGGACTTGAATTCCTTTGTTGTCTTATACTTAGATGTTTCATTATTCCAAATTCTCTCACCATTCTTAAATTTGTGCACAATCAATACCTCAGACGGTTCGTCGATTACAATTACTCTTGTTTCCTAAAATTCAGCGACGTTTCTATCGCCATCAGTTCATTCCAATACCATGTCCTTGGGATAATACTTGGTGATACTGTCAAGCCTGCGTTTTGCTTTCTTCTTTTTATCGGTTTTATTTTTGAACCATGTTATTAGCAACAAATCACCAATGAATCATATCCCGAACATCAATTTCTTCTATGTACCTAGTGTCTGCAGAAATTCATATTTACTCCTCATGCACAGTAGACATGCGAGGGCAGGGCTCGCATGTCCACCCATGGGGATTCCTTTTTTCTGTTGTAGGACCTCATTTAATGATCGGAAGAAACAATTTTTCAACAAAAACTGAGTTATTTTCAGCAGGTTACACAAACAAACTGACTTCCACCCCCCCCCCTTTCCATATGATTTTCTCATTCGTGCACCCTTTCCTTTCGTTTTTACCCTCGCTCACTGCCTACCTTTCAGTTTTTGTTCAAACAGTATTCATTCTACGGCGTGTTCCACGCTCTAATAACAACCATTCCGTCAAAACGGACATATTATATTTTTTGAACGAAATTAGAATTGAGTTTTTGGGCCGAAATTTGGTCCAAATTTTTGGCTTATTGGGGTCCGGCGTTCTAGGAACGTCGGACCCCCATGAGCAAAAAATTTGGACCGGATTTCGGCCCAAAAACTCAATTCTAATTTCGTTTAAAAAATATAATATGTCCATTTTGACGAAATGGTTGTTTAATGTGGATGTCGCGTGAACATTTATTTGATATCATATGTTCCCATGAGTATTAATTTATCAGATTCATTCATTTTTATTCCCCTGTTGGCATCCCTTAGTCCATCTTTCGGTTTATTTGTAGCAACCATGTTGAAATTCAACATCTAAGTTGTTGTTTAAATTCGCATGTTTAGTACTTTGGTCAACGTTCTTGATGTCGACGTGATTGGACTGAGATATGAAGGGCAAGTGGTTCATTTCTTATCCAAATTTTTGTCTTTACTCATAATGAACGCACGCTGGATACATCCGTCCTGATTCCATCGTGCGATTCTTTCCAGTTTTCCTTCTTTGTATTCGGTCCTCATCTTCTTCAACAATTTGGTCTCGGCAATCATTAAATGTGGCCTTCATACCTTGACAATACACTGCGAGACATTCAATCAACGTCTCTCATGAATTTTTCTTTACTGGAGACATCACTAGCCCATCAAATATCAATTTTACTCCCTTAACGTATTAAGTGAGAACAACATCATTACCCGCGGATGGGTTGTTTTTTGAAATCCTTAAAGAGTTAAACCTTACCATATGTTAGCAGTATCCTGCTTTCCTAAGCGGGTCAGTTGCTTGTTCACAGGCGGTGAGTACCTTGGTCAAATCGTTCATTCTTCCCGGATATGAGACATTCAAGGAATTGTATAACTTGAAGAACTGATTTACATCGTTGATTTCACTCAGTCGCACCCGAATGTGCCCATTAGTTCTATGCAAGTTAAAATCACTGCATGCACATTCACAATCTTCTTTCACGTAGCGTTTGTGATTATGTAGAATATCTGCAACGGAGATGACCTTTGTTCAGACCACTTTTAGCTTATTCTGCAGCAGGTCGACCAAGTCAGTCAACTGAATCTCCTCTCTTAGCCATTCCAAGAATTTCTTCCTTATTTCATTTTTGTCTAGCGAACGGCAATAACAGGGGATTCGTGAAAACCTCACAATCAGAGAAAACCTAACATTTCTGATAGAATGAAAAAGAAAAAGTCAAACTGTTATTTTTTACACAAAAGAGAGCGTTTTTAATCGTTTTGTGATAAAGGAGGCAAAAAATCAGGTGAAAAGTCCAGCGTTCCTCAAAATGTGCAAGAGAACCCTTCCTTGCAAAATGTTTTTATATGACTATACGTCATTCTCGGTAGATTGGCAAAAAAACAGAGTTCAAACAGGGTAATTCTTAAGGATGACAAGACAAACTTGAAAGATGTAAAAAAAACGAGTTTTTGTGAATACTCATTTATAGGACTATAAGTCAGTTTCCGCACTTAGGTAAAAGTCAAGCTCTGCACAAAATAATTTATAGGACTATAAATCACTTTTGAACTTAACAATAAAACCCTTATAAGAAAATATATGTCATTTAAAATAAGAATACAAACAACTTTTGCATCGGAGACACATTGAAATTCTTCGCCAAACACGAGTTTAAAATAAAAATATAGGGAAAAAAATTAAAACAAACCAAGGTTGCCGGCGTTCGAGACGGGCCGAACACCCGAACCCGAACGCCCAAACGTACGGGACCCCTTCGGAAGGCATTCGGCCGTTCGGCCGTTCGGGCCAGACGCGGACCAAAAAAAAAAAAAAAAMAAGTTTTCAAAAAATTCCGAAAAACAACTATGTTATGGATAAAAATAAACTAAACAATATTTGCCTGGGCACTACATCCAAATTCTTTACCAAATTTGAATTAAAAATCAAATACAGAAAATAAACACTATGATAAAAATAAGAAAATATAAAAAGAGAATTAAAATGAGTGAGTGTGCCAGCACCCTTTCGACACCACCATCTTTGCCCATTTTTAAATATTTTTTGGTATTGATAAATGTCCTGAAAATTTACAGATATGTAGTTTACATAATCTATAACTCATTTAAATTATTTTTTTAAATAATAATTTTTTTTAGGCTCCGAAATAAAGTGAAAACAAAAAGTAAAAAGTGAAAAAAAACAAAGTAGTGAGTGGGCGAGCACGTTTTGACACCCCCATCTTTGACGATTTGTAATGTTTTTTTGGCTAAGCAGAATGGCTTTAAAATTTATATGCGTGTAGGCTACGTCATAGAAAACTCACAAAAAAAAATCAGAAACAAAAACTTATTTTTAGGCCCCGAAACATTTTTTGGCGGGGGCCGAACCTACAGGTGTTCGGCCCCCGAACGGGACCCCGAACGCCCGAACGTTTGGGGGCCAGCCCAGGGGCCCCCGAACGTCCGGTCAGGTAACCCTGAAACAAACAATAAAAAATAACATATATCGCCCACGAATGGGAAACCATGTTCAAGCGAACGTATTCACGAACAAGAGAATATGTTTGTGCGTTCCGAAAACCCCCGAATAAATTCATCGTGCTACACATCTTATAGGACTATAAACACATTTTTTTTTTATAACAAAAAATCAGGATATTTCAGTTCTTGAACCTACGGTGCTTCACCAGGTCGTGATTTTCTATGAAAAAACACGTTTTTTTCCTTGCCCCCTCCAGTAGTTCTGAAAAATTAATTTTCTGTTTTTTTTTTTGCGGATGTTTCACTTCACGTAGAATTTTATTCTAGGAGGAACCCTGAAAAACGTACAATCATAATCTTGAATAGATTTCGTGCAAACCTAACAATTTGTTTTGTTAGGTTTTTACGAATCCTATATTAAATACAAAAGTTTTACCGTGAATCTCATTCTAGGATTTATACCGATTTTTCGTTTAGTTCTCTCACAATAATTTCTCTCAAGATTTTTCGCTCTTTCTTTGTGTCAATGCATTTCTTTTCTTTAACACCTGGAATAACTCACTACTTTCTTTCATTCTCAAGTCCGTCGTTTTCCATCGTGCTCTCAACAGAGTTCGTAAATCGGATTTTTTTCGGTTAACGTTTGATTTATTTTTTATCAGGCATTTCACAGACCATTCCCCATCATGCTCAATCAGTTCTTTCGAATCCCTCAACCACCGACTCATTCCATCTATTCTGATTTTACTGTCTCCGTACACCAAAGACACAATGCGTCATCCATTCCACCACTTACTGCCGCTTTCATTTTTTATTGTCATGGGCCTGCTAGTTCCTTTAGCTTCCTTCAAGATCTTTATCAGATGAACAGTCGGGTCGGGGAACAGATTCGCAGCAGTAAAAATCAGACGTTTCCATTCAATCACTTTGTTTGACAATTTATTTTTTCGCGTGGAGCGTCTCGGTTTCTTCTTCTTCTTCGTTTTTAACGTATTTAGTTTGGATTCTCACTTTCGATAAGTAATTCTTCCCTCCGTAACAGGTCCGATTTCGAACCCATCCACAGAGGGATTGTAATGTACGTTTCAATACCTTTCTTCCTGATCCACTTGTGTACTTTCTTGTCAGATTTGGTCCTTATGTTATGCTTGTGCTCCCTCCACCTTTCATGTAAATTACGCTTCGTTTGCCCAACATATACAAATTTATAGAATGGTGAGATCAAGACGTATACGCAAGAATCTTCGTTATTCATCATCTCCAAGTCATCAGGGCACATGCTATACCAATACTTAGAGAACGTACGTCCCAAATTCAGATAACCATTCACGCAAGCGAGGATCACGACAGTGCGGAAAAGTTTCTCAATTTCACTTGCAACGGATCTATCAGTTAGGCCTTAATCAGCACGTAGTTTACTCAACCGTCGAAGAAACCGTAGTAGTAACTCCGTTTCGATAAATTCAATTTCCCGACACATCCCCCACTTCTTCGACGTTGTTCTCTTCTGCACCAACGCTGTGGCAGTCTTCATCGTCTGTGGAGTCTTCCTCTCCCTCGTTCTCCTCTTCATCTTCAATGTTGTTCACCAGCTTCGAGAACTGGTCTGTATCCTGTTTCGCTAGCTCCCATGCGCCTTTATCTTTGTGATCACAACATGCATTTCTCTTCTTGCACATGACCTTGATCTCCTTATAGTTCAACGTCATGCAATAGTCCATACGACACCTCATATATTCGATCACTAAGGCCCTGTCCTTCCCGGTTCTCACGCCTTGTTTTTCCGTCATAAAGCGTTCGGTTTTCATATTGTCGGCAATACCTCCCTTGTTCCAGACACAACTCTTGGTTGGATCTGATCCGCCTGCATCCGTCTCACCCATTAGTGCTAGGAGCATAACCTTTATCTCTTCCAACTTCGTTCCCTCCGTCGCGTTTGCTTGATGTTCCTGTTTCTCATCGATCCGTGTGTTAACTCGCTGCTTCTCCCCCATTCTTCTCTCGCCATCGTCAGCCAAAATATTAATCTGCAATGCTCGCACCTTTGTTGCCTGCAACATTTTTTGATCGGGATTTAGATCTCGATCGCGCAACGACTGGTGACACAAAACTGCGCTTCCGCTTCTCACTGCTCCCTCCATCCTTCTTATCGTCTTCGACTTCGTCAATCTTCATCTTCCCACGATCTTGGATTGCAGCGCTGGTCTTCCTATCAACATCTTCCAACTTATCGACGATCTTCTTCAGCGACCCGCCAAACGTACTGGCTATCCATGCCTTCATCCTTGTCTCGTTGTCGTCCGTGCAGTCCTTTACTTTCCCTTTCTTACCCCCTCCACGTGCTGCATTTGCACCGTTGGATCCGGCTCCGCTAGGCTTCTTAACCTTTTCAGCAATGTCCCTTGTCTTCCATTTCTCGATAAGATCGAGATGTTCCTTCGTAAACCATGCACGTTGCCCTAGCCCTGGAAAGGCATTCGCGCTCGCCTGCCTTTGATTGTAATTCCAACTTGATGGCGGAGAAGGCTGTCATCCATACTGCGGCGGAGGATAGTAGTACTCGGTTGGTGGGAATTGTGGTAATGCCACATTTTTTGTTGCTACTAAAAAAACAGGCGTCGTCACTTGCATCAGCAGTGCAGGGGTCTGTGCAGTGAAACCACTTGGCGCATCTCCTGGCGGCGTTTGCATCCCATTCAGAAACCCCATCCAGTATCGATTGCAACCGGACCACCTGCTACGTCCGCGACCCCTCCCACGTCCGTACATGCGTTCAATATGAACTCTCGAGGATACCGCGTGTACACAATCGATCCGAAAAAATGATCGCTGAGAGACGATCCCGCACTCTGATGTTCGACAATAAGCCACTATGCCTTGTAAGCTTCTTGTTACCAATAGACCAATCAGCAGGAGTAGTCGATGGTTACTCAGTCGAGAAACGATGACTAATCCCTTCGCCAATCCATGAACCATTCAATAAACCAATCGATGAACCACACGAATGATAATAATTTATAATAATACTAATAACAACCTTGAATAATTAGAAGAGTTTCTTACGCAACGAGGTTCAGCGATCTCAGCGAACGTGTCTACCTCACCGCAGAGTCGTTCGCTCAGTTCACCATGAGATTAACTCAAAATATAGTAACGTAGCTGGAGTTTACATGTCACAGATCAACTATATCAAGAATTTGGGCGCAGCAACACTTCGCCCGTACAACCCTTCTACTCCATTTGCTCAAGCTGTAGCAGATTCCAACTGTTCGCGATTAAATACTCCCTTTGTTTTTTTTTTCTCTCCCCTTGAATGAGCAAAAAATACCCGAAAAAATGGAAAAAAAAAAAAAAGAACAAAAAAATGAAAAAACAAAAAAATGAAAAAATGAGAAAATAAAAAAACGAAAAAACGAAAAAACAAAAAAACGAAAAAATGAAAAAACGAAAAAACGAAAAAACGAAAAAACAAAAAAACGAAAAAATAAAAAAACAAAAAAACAAAAAAACGAAAAAACGAAAAAACGAAAAAACGAAAAAACGAAAAAACGAAAAAACGAAAAAACAAAAAAACAAAAAAACAAAAAAACAAAAAAACAAAAAAACGAAAAACACACACACACACACACAGGACCAGCTCGATCGGATGGAGGTAAAAAACTGGGTTAGCAGATATGGTTGCGATACCTTAGCAGCACTTGGCTGCCTCCATATCTGGTAATCAAGGATCTGTTATGTTGGCTTCTGCTATGGGCGGCCCTAACCCTAACCCTAAACGTTATTAGCGCTAGGTGTCGCCGAAGCGGCACTTAGCACTAACGTTTAGCGCTCGGATTAGCGCACCTCTCGCCGTCCAACCTCTACTCCGGAAAGAGAAAATTAAGATGCTGCCGAAAGTTTTTTCCTACACTTGATTTTACCCAAAAGGCACAGTGGCTTTCGTCGTGGGTGCTTCTTTGTGTTTTTTTTTTTTTTTTTTTTTTTTTTTCGTTCGTGTGTTTCACGAGACTCACTAGCATCCAGTCTACTGATAGTCCACATACTGTTACCCGCCATACATGGTGCCACCCCTCCCACACAGTATCGCCTAAGGCTAAGTCCCACTAGTGTAGAGAGGGTTCAAACTTGGTTTTGAGTGCCATCAGAGTCGAATATCTCAAGACTGCACTGTGCTTGGGTACACCGTGTCACGGGATCTCCGTGCTGGGGTGGGGTGAATTGCACATCTTGGGGCTTCACTTTCATCCCAGCCCACATAGCCTTATGGTTAGGTGTTAGCCTGCCAAGCCGTTGGTTGTGTGTTTGAGTCTTGTATTCGATATACACGTGCTTTCACGCACTAACCGTCTTAGAGATTATACTACGGGCAGTGTGGCTATGTAGGATGAGTGAGGTTGCGTACACCTTGTCGCGGAATCTCCGTGTTGGGTTGGGGTGAAGTGCTCATCTTGGGGTTTCACTTTCACCCCAACCCACTTAGCCTTATGGTTAGGTGTTAGCCTGCCAAGTTGTTGGTTGTTTGTTCGAGTCTTGTATTCGATATACATGTTGAAAACTACTGCAAAGGAAGGCGAAGGCCCCACAAGTGGGACTTGGTGCCTGGGGCTAAGTCCCACTACTACGGTAGTGGGGGTTTAGTCTTCCTTTCGAGTATTTCTCAACCTGGGCAGACTGCTGCAGCGAGATGATGAGATCAGATTGCTCCAGATCGGATGGTTCCTCGAATCAGATGGCAGGAACCGGTGCGTACTCGAAACCAAGGGTGAGGTCCCACCAGCAAACAGGAATGGATTTATCCCCGAAATAGAGGCGTGTTTGTGGACAGGTGCATAAAATCGTGATTGATCTGCTTTTCTGCATCTTTTTTGTAGAACAATTCATTGGCTGAATCCAAGCCGCTTTGCGAGTGGCTAGTGGGATGGGACCCGGTAGTGGTACATGTCCCCTGCCATGCCATCAGATCCATCAGTATGAGGCGCCCCACATGGGACCACCTACTTGAAATCGCACCACCCGGCTTGCATAGCATCCACCGCGCCGGTCCACATGGTACCATCCAACCTTGCATGGTATTCCACACACCATGTAGTATCACCTGCCACTCTCATGGTGTGCTCTTTTGTTCCATGCTTTGTGGGAACCTGTGTAGCATCGTGTTCGGGTTCGGTGACCGAACCCGAACGTTCGGGACCGAACGCGAACGAGCGTCGAAACTCTCCGAATGCGAACATAAAAAAAAAAAAAAAAAGCTTCGACCAAAACATCTAAAAACAATATATGTTATGTAAAATAATAATACAAACAACTTTTGCCTTGGAGGTATGGTCAAATTCGTAACCAAACTTAAGTTAAAAATCAAAAACAAAAAAAATGGTTTTTTTTTTTTATATAATTATGTTCGGCTGAACACGTTCGGGGGCCGAACACCCGAACATGTTCGGACGTTTGGAAAAGCTCCGAACATGTTTGGTGTGCTACACAGGTGGGAACCAAGTATGGCATCATCCAACCTAGATGGTATCGCCCATACCATGTAGTACCACCTGCCAGTGCCATGGTGTGCTCCTTGGTCCCATGCGTTGTGGGAACCGCTTCTGTGTGTGTGTGTGTGTGTGTGTGTGTGTGTGTGTTGTTATATTCACTATAGGGTCTCAGTTCACTACTCTAGAAACATGTCATTTCTTGAGCGCGACACCGATCCACTTACTCTAGACGCCAGGTCTGGAATTCGAGTTTTTGAGTTGTCAGTCTACACTCACGAAAATTACGAGAATCCACCGTCACTCCACTACCTCATGAAATGCACCCACGGAAATCCTAGTCTTAAGTTGTCAGAACCTCCGCTCTCGTGTCCTTTAGGACATCTGTTAAAATTAGAAAGATACAAAAAGATTAGCATGGCCCCTGTGAAAGTGTGGCGGATCCACCGGGTGAGGTGCTCCACCTGGTATAAAGATGGAGATGGAGGATGAGGGTGGAGCAACATGGCACAACGTAGCCCCACCCAGACTCCAACGCATGTACTCCAAAACTGCACGAATGTAGAATGATCCAAGTACAGACTCTGGCTGGGGTATACCCCGGCGGACTGACTAGACTGGACAGGACTGGCTGGTACCGACAGAGGTACCGGTCTGAACAAGCCTACCCCGAATACAACACAGGTTTGTGGGAACAGGCGAAGAGGCTGGTCTCACAGGCCAACTAGAGGTCCGCTACACGATCCTCGGCCTGTGATGGATTGCCTAGATACAAGCACGCTTCCACCAAGAAGCGGAACTCTACCAAACAAAAGAAAACCTGAGTAATCTAGGATGCGGAGCAAGCTCCATGCTGAGTCCATGCGATGCAGCCTATGCTAGAAAATGTCACAAAAGCAGCAACGTCACAGCTAACAGCCTAAAACATTGGATTCGTGAAAACCAGAGAAACAGACCAAAACCAGAAAAATCCTATAGACGAAAAAACAAAAGCGAAACAAAATATTTTTTGAGAACTAATGGTCAAATTTGCCTCGTTTCCTGCGCCCCTCTATGCCCGAGCATAGTTCATCATCTCTCTGTTTTCCTGCTCGCCTTCTAGCTGCCAACACCAATATTACGGTTGTTCTTTCCAGTCAGCCCTTCCTGGCTTTCGTGACTTCGGCAGCTCTAGCGATCGACGTATCCGGAAGACGACCGGCATGTACCGACTGCTACGTGGCCTAACTAGCCTTCCGCCCTTGTAGCCAAAGTCCGACGAACGATTCGCACGCAGTTTGGCAGCGGGCCTTCCCATGCGTATCGCAACGCCTGTAGTCCGCGACCCATACTCAGCGGCCCTAGTCAGGCCCAGGCCTTGGCGAACAGGAAGGCATAGACCCGACGCGGGGCCAGTAGTGCCAGCCCACTTGCAGGATTCTCATAGGAGGTTGCGTAGTCGGGGCAGCCCTGCTGCAAGCCTTCTTGGGCCGCTCTGATCAGGCAGCGCTGGCTACCTCTCGGGCCCCCAAGGCAATAGTGGGGCCATAAAATTAGAAATAAAATTTTATGAGAAATGGATATAGAGAGAAGGAACTACCATGGTTCCTTCTGTCCCAC